TATGACATTGACAGCCAGGGAATGGAATAAATCATTTTCACCAATTCATCTCATCACCATTTTTCACTTCTGTGACTGATCGGATCTTGATCATTTGTGATGCCCAGTGAGAGTCTTGCAGTGTTATGTTGCTCCCACTATTGCCTTTAGAGGCGCTAGACAATGACCTTTTCTTCATTGGGATCCTTCAGTTTCCAGTATTTATCCCTGGTTAAATTGATGAGATGGGGATGAAATTGATCCATATCACTTATTCTGGGCTATCTTTAAAGGCAAGGAGACTTCTGCAAGTCACATCTAATCAGATTCATCACATTTCTATATTCTTAGCAGCCCAGTTGAATTGCTCACTGGAGGATATTGTGTGAGCTGGTATGTGGACCTCCAACAATAAGTTCATCTCACATTATTTGCATGATCTAGCAGTATCTTCCTCAGAGGGTTTTTGACTACCCCTGTAGCTATCTTAGCTACATCCACTAAATTATACAGAGGGTTGAGTATTTCCATTGCCACTCTTGTCTTTTCTTTACCTTCCAGGGTCCCTTACCTCGTTTTCACAGGATCCCACTCTTTGGCAAGTGTTGCCTAGGCAGATGTGCTTTTATCAAACCAATTCCACACTAGCAAGCACTAATTCAATATACTTTATCTGGTTTGCAACAGGCTCTGTATAAATGAGGTGTTCCATAAGACCACCTAGAGGCTGACCAGGTGGTATTACTGTACTATGCTGAACCACCACTCATGGACAATCATGAGTAAAGCATAAAGGAATCTTGCCTGTCACTGCCAATCATTGGATTTAATTGCTCTTAAAAATTTAGGGAACTTGGTTCACCTATTGCACTGTTTCCAGAGCAATGTTCTTCAGGATTCCCCCAGTGTGCATTATTCCCTTACCCCAGATTTTACTAGTGGAGCTAGGGAGTCCTTACCACACCCAGTTTCCAGTCATTGGGCTGGTAGACAGAGGTTATTCCTCCAGAGGGTTCGATTGAATTCCTCCACTCTTGGAGAATAGAACAAAATTTGGGGCCCTCCTACCCAGGACCCTGGATGTTTTTTCCCAGATGTCAGTAAGAGAAACACCAGGAGCCTATTTGTAATACTGGTTCAGATTTGATGCTAGGCTATCCAGTTGGGTTGAGTATGGTCCTTCTTTTTGATCAGTATTGTTTCAGTACACTGTTCATGGAAGAAGGTCCATTGTCTACTCGTAATTCTGAACACAGAGTACAGTTTGTTCTACATCCTCCCCATAATTCTGAGGGCAAGCTGAATGTTGGGGAATGAAGATGCATATCATAATTCCAGACCAGATGAGTTCTGTTTCCTCAGATTTAGTGTGGCATACAGGATTCCATCATTCCATGTTTGAGGTGTTGCCTTTCGGACTTCTTCAGGTTGAAAAGAAGGTCTGTTAACTTCAGTGGTGCTTACCTTCTCATCGTGATTCTGGTAGCTTGGAATGCATCACTCTATGTAAGTATGTTTTAGAAGTTAACATTTTCTTAAATCAAAAATGTATTTCCAATAATACTTCCTCCCCACTAAGAGCCGGTGTTAGAGACTATGGAGTGGATCAGTCTAAAAAAAAAAAAGTGATAATATTATCTAAATAAAGTGCTTATATACAGTACCAGGATAAAGGGTGCACTGACATAGGTGAAGAGTGTCACATGACAGATATCACCAAGGGTAATTAAGTGGGGAATAAAAAAACTGAAGCAAGTGAGAAAAATTCAGACCAGTGCTTAGATGGGCAAAGAAAGGAAACCCTGTCAGTCGAGTAATAGCTGTAATGTGAGAGGAGGTATTATTGGAAATACATTTTTGACTTAAGAAAGTGGTAACTTTTTATACCATTTGTTCATATTATGTGTGGATAGATCTAGATTTGGCATCAGCTCTATTATTTCAGGTTGAAAATGTTTTTCAAGCTTCATTGATAAATTCGAAATAATAATTTGGATTTCACATACAGTATTTATATAGTTTAATGTACCATGGTATTTAACTTAACTTTGGTATATTTTCAATTAGCATTTTCTTTTCCTTCATCATACTCACAAGAGGACCTAAATGTACTGACAAGAGCTCCTTATTTTCTATTAAAGTCTTCTTCAGCTGTTGTCAGTCATGAGATATGTCAGTGGTGGATGAACTCCATCGGTACAAGCTCTTTTGCCAACTGGCAAGACAGGAAGCAATTGTTGGAGCTGAGATTGGTGCTGGTTAACTAGACCACAACTCTAGGAAGAGAAGTACCAAGCTGCCCCACCAGTGAAAATGGAGGTACTGCAGGTGGATGACATCTACTTAAGTGATCTATATGGTCACAGCATGTGTCCCTTTCTTATGAAGTTGAGGATGATAACCTGATAACAGAATTATCGAGGAAAGATGCACTATAGTGATCTGTGCCACCATACAGCAACACAATAGATGCCTCCTCAATAGAAGGATAAAGGGTAGAGATGGCAAGGCTTTCTCAAAGAAGAGAGGCAAGATGCCTCAACAACTGATGGTCATAGGGCAAGCAGGGGGCCAGCAGGATCTGCCTAAGAGATGTACTCTGCATCTTGCTGCTCAACAACCGTAGGTCTCCCTTTTGAGTCAGACTGTCCAGTCTGAGATAGAAAATGGGTCCACAAAAAAATGTTACATCTCCAAACCACATGAGCTCTGTAAGCAAGGCTGATCTCTCTCCCCCACTGGAAAAGAGGTCATCCACTGATGGGCTGGGTCATGCTGTATATGTTTCTAGTATGTCTGGAATGAGCAGATTTGGGGTCTGAAAATTTTTTTGCAGGGCCTTGTCTTTGTTTTGACGAAATGGCTGATGAGGATGGACAGTTTGGCAGTTGTAATGGTCATCTGAGACCCTAAGTGTACCTCCTAAATGCTGGTTTGAGGGTACAAGCCAATTATGGTGGTTGTTTGATTGAGGAACAAACAAATGAAAGCGATTTGTGCATCTTAGATTTCTAGGCAAGTGTGATATTTTGAGCAAAAATTGCCACCCCCCATGAACCCGTTTTGGTTTTCTTTTGTATGTCTATGACAAAACAATTAGGGAGAGGATGTTCATGGCCTCAACATTGTACTGACACAAACGGCACCCCCTCCCCCCAACTTATGAGGTCCACTGTTCAAAGGAAATATGCATTGGAGGTCAAACCAGATGAGTTTCAAGATGTGACTGCATGAAAGCTAGGATTGTCATGTAATAAAAAAATTGCCAACTGAAAGAGTGTCAAACTACTTGCTTTTTGAGTCATTAAGTATTGATATCCAGCAGAAGGTATGTGCTTCATTTTATGACCATTACTTTATCACATCAAGTCATCAGTCTTACCATCAGTGACTGGAACTTAGCAACCCTTTCTATCTGTGGTTATCTTTACACTTACCATTCATAACAGTTATTTCTCAGGGGTTGAGTTTTGCTAGAAAAGATGAAAGTAGCATAAGCTGCTGCTACAGTTGCATGTAAACACAGTTTGTACTGTGTTTTTAAGTGCTAATCAGTTATGTTTCAGTCATGCATTACTGAAATGCAAATGGCAATGAGAAATTATCTTTGAAAAGTAAAATTCATAAACAGCATGTCTGGGTATGATGAATTTAAACTAGGGAAACCCAATGTTTTACTTATAATACAGAAACATTTTCATTATCTGATTAAAATATTTTTAAGAACTCAGTTTTCTAGATATATTCTCAACATAATTCAGTAAAACTCCAGTTCTGCATGCAAATTTTGGCTGTGGTGCTGGGAGCAAGATATGACACATCCATGACAAGTTGCTATTCTTGTGTTAGATGGAGCTTGTTGCTGATCAAAATCAACAAGGAGATGAAATGTAGGTTATAACAAATTCTCAGATTTTAAGCAGTTTTCAATCTGTCAGTCTCAAGTGTGGATAATATCATGCTCATTTCTTTCCTACCAGCCTAGGCTCTGTTAGATAACAACTAGATGGCCACTTTGGTCACACCAACCCCAGGGGAAGGTGAGGAACACTGGTCACTAGAACACTGTTATATAAATGTAAGTAGAAGGATGTTTATTTATACACTTGGATTATATAAATCACAGTGTGATGATAGTGGATACTGCTTTCATGAGATAGGTGGTCATCAGTTGTTAACTTTCATAAGAAGCACTATCTAGGACTTTCTGAAACCTCAGCAACAAAAATGTACTTTTCAAGGTTTTAAGATCATTATACAAACCCTTATAAATGTTCATAAAGCTTGACAAATATCTTTTGTACACCTGATTACCTAAGGCACATAAACTGTGATAACATATTTGTTCCTGGACATTGACAATAGTGTTTTTTATAGAGTTTATTGGAGATTTCTACAAAGATTATAACTGTAAAGCCTCACAAATATCCTATTTTAAAACTTAATTCAAAAGTATGTCAAATATATTTATCTAGTACTTGTGGTAAGGTTGTAACAATCAGATATCAATCATTGTCATATATATAGTTAGGAGCCTATATGATTAACTACTTTTTTTTTGTAACTAGGTACTAATTACTAATTAGTATCCTAAGTTTCAGCTGTTAATTTGCTGCAATTATCAAAGTCAAGAGAATAACTTTTCTGTGGTGGTAATGGCTGGGATTTGATCTTGGGCTATGGATTTTACATTCAACTGGGGTCTCTTCCATTTAAAACGTTGAAATAACTAACTATCTGAATTTTTTCCAAAGAGGTATCTAGGTTTTGCTACATTTTATGTAGGGTGACAAAGTGTGCTATTAGTTAGGTGGTTGTAGAAGGTTTCTTTTGTGTCCCTATAGCGCAGTGGATAGCGCGTTGGATTTCTAATCCAAAGGTGCCGGGTTCGTTCCCCGGCAGGGATGCCACTTTATGGCCAGGTAACTAAACACTTTATGGTCAAGTAACTAAACACCTTATAGCCAAGTAACTAAACACTTTATGGCCAGATAACTAAACACCTTATAGCCAAGTAGCTAAACACCTTATGGCCAGGTAACTAAAACACCTTTTCACATTTTTTTTACTTAAAAAGTCGAGTTCTTAGTGTTTCTTTTATCTTTCAGGTTTTATGCTGCAGAGATAGTCGTTGCTTTGAAGTTTATGCACAAAAGGGGAATAGTATATCGGTAAGTAACGTTAGGGTGAAACTGAAGATCTATACTTGAATGAAATGTGATCTAATCTTGTGAATGGGCTGTGGTGGAAAACAATAATTAAAACTTGACATGGTTTTGTTAAGTTAGTTAGTTGTCATGCAGTGGTGTGATCGAATATCTTTCTTTCTTCAACTTTAAAAGCTGTAAATTTGATTTGAATTCCGTGTAAAGCTAGTCGACGGCTACCTACACTAGCTCCATCTAATTTAGAAGTGATATATTAGAAGGTTTGTTTGTTTTTTGAATTTCGCGCAAAGCTACACGGGGGCTATCTGCGCTAGCCATCCCTAATTTAGCAGTGTAAGACTAGAGGGAAGGCAGCTAGTCATCACCGCCCACCGCCATCTCTTGGGCTACTCTTTTACCAACGAATAGTGGGATTGACCGTCACATTATAACGCTCCCATGGCTGAAAGGGCGAGCATGTTTGGTGGGACGGGGATTCGAACCCGCGACCCTCAGATTGCGAGTCGAGTGTCCTAACCAACTGGCCGTGCCTATATTCGAAGGAAAGCAGCTAGTCAAACACCACTCCCCAATAATACTTGGACAAGTCTTTTACCAACGAAAAGTGGGATTAACTCACATTATGACGACCTCATAGCTGAAAGGACGACTAACGAGATTAGGACTTGTAACCCGCTGATTGTTAGTGGATCGCTGTAACCACCACGCCATGTCAGGCACTGATGACTACGATAAAAACTTTATAGAATCGTGAAATATGAAACTTGTTAGGAACCGTGAATTAAATTCGAGATAACCCTGTAAAATATTAAAACACGCATACAACGATTACTTATTGCACAGTAATTGAGTCATGATGGCGACGTAGAGCGCCACCGAATCGGTGTTTTAGGGCTGTGCGCTGGTGTTAGTAAAACTAATTTTATTAAGGAATAAGTCAAAGCTGTATGTATGTTTCAAATTTTTATCTGTGTATAAGTCTTTTAATTTATATATTCGTGTACTTAAAACTTTATTAATATAACAGTGAATAATAAAACAAACACAAGAAATATGCTAAATAAAGAGTACTATGCCTATGTAAGGGCGACATAAGTTTGTCAATATTAGAAAACTTATAAACGTTAAAGGACAACAATCTCTGACATTAACTGCGTCTACCATATCTGAAGGCGACCCATTCTAAGTCCAACTACCCTGTTTGAAAAACTTGCTTTCGTCTGTAGCTTAAGAAACAACAACGAGGATAAATATTCTCACAGATAAAAAAAAGAGAGTAAAAGAAGAAAAAAAAAGTCAGCATATTTTCTAATTTTTAAATAATTTGAAAGACACCTGATAAGTTGCAAATCTTCGACAAACAGAGACAACTTACATACTGTAATATTTTCTGTGTTTTAATTTAGAGATCTGAAATTGGACAACATTCTGTTGGACAGATCGGGTCATGTAAAAATCGCAGATTTCGGGATGTGTAAATATAGAGTGACAGATGAACTGAAAACTTCGACTTTTTGCGGAACACCTGAATATATAGCACCAGAGGTGAGCTTATACTCTCGAGTCTAGAAACGAAAAACTTACAAATTATCGATTTATATACACCTTCTTCTAAAGTTAATATCTTAGATCTAAAAACAAATTACCAAAAGCACCTATTCTTTCAAGCATTACTTCCAAGTTACAAAGAAGCGAGGTTTTAATTGATGTTATTAAAGAATGTTTTATAATGTATATACACAGTGAAGTAATAAGGTAGAAATACAGTTGTGGATTTTACATCATCCCTAACGCGAGAAAAATAAATTGACAGTTTCAATAATGCTCTAATTTACTTAGATTATCTGCGGAAAAAAATATAACCAATCTGTCGACTGGTGGTCGTTTGGTGTACTTCTGTACGAAATGCTGATTGGTCAATCGCCTTTTAATGGCGGTGATGAGGAAGAAGTCTTTTGGTCCACTTGCAACGAAGCAGCTTATTATCCTCGATTTATCAGCAAAGAAGCGAAGGATATACTTTCCAAGGTACACAATAAAGTGACAGGCTATAGAAGACGCAATATTATTTTGTAATTAAACTTTAAAGTATTTTCCATTTAAATAATTTTATTCTCCAAAAAGTCTGAAACAGATTTATTTTTTGGAAATATAATTAAATATCGTGTAATTAATTAATAATAATAAGATAATACTTTTGAGTACCTTAAATATATCTTTTAAAAAACTTTAGTTTTATATTTATAGAACTGTGATTAAACCAGGAGTTACAGAACATTCAGCATTGAGCTAATGTATTTTTTTGTCATGTTTTAAACTTCCATTTAAATAACCATGGGATTTTCTAACACTATAATTCTTATCACTTATCTGGTTAGTTACGTACAAATTATTATTTATTTTGTTGAGAAAGGGTGTTTTTAGACCATAAAGTCAAAGAAAGTTAAAAGCATAAATTAAGTAGAAAACTATCTGCATTATTAGTGACCTGCCTTTCATGACAGGATAGTTTAGTTTGAGGTCGCTAGGGATTTTAAATAAATTTCTTTCTCAACTGCTGTAACTAAAGTTGTTTTTTTCTTCTGTGCATGCTTCTAATTATTTAATTTTTTAAGTTACTGGAAAAGAAACCCCAGAAGCGGTTGGGAATGCCTAACTGCTCATCAGGAGACATTTGTGATCAACCATTCTTCAGAACTGTTAACTGGGAGAAGATTGAACATCAAGAACTGGAGCCACCGTTTAAGCCTAAGGTGGTAAGTAAGATAGATATTATTAAACCTATCTTACTGGAAATAGGTATATATCCCTCAGGAACAAAAATTAATATTTTATGATATATAAATGAGCTGTTTTTGAAATCTTAAAATGAAAATTTATATTCGTAAACCTTATTTAAATCACAGGAGTATTTTTTTTCCCAACAGAAAAGCCCATCTGATTCCAGTAATTTTGACAATTTTTTTACAATGGAGAAAGCAGTTTTAACTCCTGTTGACCTGCAGATTCTAATGTCTATGGATCAGTTACAATTCAAAAATTTCAGTTACACCAACCTTCGCATGATTGACTAAGTCAACCTAAAGGTGAGTTAACAGGATCAGCTACACTGGTTGACTAGAAGTATATCAAAATGTGTATCACGAATGATCACCTATCCCTTGCATTACTGACTAGAAGTTAACCAAAACAGATATTGAACTATGAATAAGAAAAATTTATATGTACAGGTTGAGTACCTTGTACTACAATTATTCTGGAGTTATAACATGCCATTATCTATATTGCCATGTTTGATCATGCTCTATTTGATGAGGCTTCCAGTTCCTCAGTGATAAGTCTGTGAGCTTATAATGCTAAAAACTGGGTTTTGATTCCTATGGTAGGCAGAGCACAGATAGCCAAATGTGTAGCTTTGTGCATGACAAAATAAAATTTTTTTGAGAGAGTCTTGACATGTCCAGCTTACATTCCATTAAAAAAGATTACACGTTAATGTTGTAATGTTTGCTCCATCTACTTTACTTAAGGTCAGTAGTGGTTTAATGAATATCATGGAAGCAACTTTTTGTACGTGTGACAAGTAACTTTTCTAGAACAGATTCTTCTCAATTATGAAACATGAAACCATGTCAAAAATGTAGTTCTGATACATTCTATTCCAATGCAATTTTAGATCAAATGTGATAGACATGTGACTTACTTTTTTTTTAAATATACATGTATATTTCAAAATGTTGTTTAAATCATCAAAATTGTCAGCATTGATGTCACTGACAAGATGTTAGCCTGATGATGTATGAAGGTCATCACGAGGATCAGCTATTGAATACCCAAAAAAATATCCAGGTATAAAGACATTAGTTAAACGAAGTTTTGCATGAATGTATAGAAAATAACTATAAAACTGGTAATTTTGTCCACAATAGTGATGCTTACACACTATTCCATCTACGACTACAAAAAAAAGATGTAATTGCAGAACAGCATCACTTAAAATGTTTTATGTGCAATGATAACTTGTCTGATTTAAACACTTAAGTTCTGTTTTTTAATGATATTTGTCTAAGCTGTAACAACACCAGTTCTACTATTAAAAGCATTAATGGAAGTAACAGTCGAGATGTTGTGTGGTTAATTAGAACTAGTTAAAATTGACTAAAATAATTTTGCTAGTAATTACTTCTAATAAAGATAAAACACTAAAAGAAACAGTTTGCGTACACAAAAAAAATTATGAAATTGTTTATTTACCTTTTAATAAAACCTTAGATAATGTTTAGAAACAAAATAAACTTTTTTGCACAACCTGTAGCCATTGAGAAAGAAAACCAAAACATATCCAGATCCAACAACCAAGTGATAAATGTTGCAGATAATGGAAGGATCATGAGAAAATGTCTTTCAGAAATAAAACACGTAAAGAGAAACTGAACACACTTGTAAATACAAAGCCAACAACAATATTCTTCAGTATTCAAACTTACAAGGACCATAAGCTGGGGACACAAGTGCTGAGAAGTTCCAATCCATTAAGTGGATATATGGATTTTTTTTCCTTTGTAAGAAATGTACTCGCATGTTACCCATGAAGATGTGTGTATCGTATATTTCCAAATTATTTATATGTATGCATTCATTATATTCCAAATTAAAATATAATCCATACATTATATATATATAATGCCCCTGCTTGCAGTAACTCTCTCTCTCTCTTAGTTCCTGTCGTTCCTAGTGGAACATAGGGCCACAACAACACTTCGCCGATGGAAGTGTTGTTGCAGTTTCTGTAGCAGGTTGGTTTTTATGGGGCGGAGTTGCTAGCCCCGCGTCCAACCCTCCTCCTTTCTCATCCTGGACTTGGGACCAGGCAATGGTGGTGTTTATTTACCTGGCTATAAAATGTTTAGTTAACTGGCTATAAAGTGTTTAGTTACCTGGCTATAAAGTGTTTAGTTATTTGGTTATAAAGTGTTTAGTTATCTGGTTATAAAGTGTTTAGTTATCTGGCTATAAAGTGTTTAGTTACCTGGCCATAAAGTGTTTAGTTACCTGGCCATAAAGTGTTTAGTTACCTGGCTATAAAGTGTTTAGTTACCTGGCCATAAAGTGTTTAGTTACCTGGCCATAAAGTGTTTAGTTACCTGGCCATAAAGTGTTTAGTTACCTGGCCATAAAGTGTTTATTTACCTGGCTATAAAATGTTTAGTTATCTGGCTATAAAGTGTTTAGTTATCTGGTTATAAAGTGTTTAGTTATCTGGTTATAAAGTATTTAGTTATCTGGCTATAAAGTGTTTAGTTACCTGGCCATAAAGTGTTTAGTTACCTGGCCATAAAGTGTTTAGTTACC